GGTCCCCGGGGCCTGGCCCGGCCGGGCGTCTCCTGGGCCGCTCTGAAGCAAAAAACAAACGAAAAAAAGCAGCATTTCGCCTGATTTCGCCTGGGGACTGGGATCTTTTCTTTTTTCCTTCCCCCTCCGCTTGACTGACTTTCTCACACTGCTCTTGCCGCAGCCTGCCAGCTAAGCCTGAGTCATCCTGCCAAGAGCTAGACCTGGCCTATTCAGAAATGCACTCGCTCGCTCGCTCTTTCTGTCTCTCTTTTCTTTTCCTTTTTTTTTTCTTGGAGTGTACACAGTAATGTTTTTCCACCTCCTCCAGTACCTGATCTGCACCTGTATGGGGCCAATCCCACATGTATCACCTGATCGCCACCTTTTCAGAGACCGTGAGAAAAATAAAGCTCAAGAAAGAAGAGACATGTTTGCAGATCTCACCACTGCACAGCCCTCGCCCCTGCAGAGGCTTGCCTGCTGAGCCTTCAGAGTTTAAAAAAAGGAAAATAAATAAAAGGGAGAGTGTCATGTGTAAAGCTGCAGAAAAGTACAAATTCAGGCTTTGTTTCAGCTCCTTGCCGGAGCACAAGCCTTTCGATTTAAAACAAAGAGCAGCCTTCAGCGTGTAAGGTCTAACTTCAGATGAGCAACATCTGATGTACGCCTCGGTCAGACATTCGGACAAACTCCAGCAAGGAAAAGCTTGAGGCTGCGCTGGGGAAGTCGCTACGGAAAAGCCTTTTCTCAGTCACCTTTGTGGGGAAATTGGAGACGACTGATGAGGGTGAAAACTGCAGTACATTTCTGGAGAGCCCAGAAAGTTCTCCCGTGGACCAATATTTTTTCTAGTGCTGGTATTTGGGTATATCTGGGAGAAGAAAACAAAGTTATCACAACTACGGAGCAGATGTTCTCCCTTTTGCAGGGGTTTGTGGAGCTGGGCGGGGAGTGAGAACAGGCTGTAATTATGTCCACATTTATGGTCCCGGAGGAGCTGCCAACCACCTCTAATTGCCGGCACCGGGTCGATGTCTCTGGGGGACACGAGCAGGGCAAGCAGGAAGGACGGGCTGTCGTTAGGGGTTGCCAGCGCTCGCCCAAGGTGGGGACCTGGGGATGGCCTGGCCGCAGTTCCACTGGCCCACACAGCCTCTCTGCAGCAGCCCAGCTCTGCAGAGCCCAAGGGTTTTGCTTTCAGGGCATTCGAGGAGCCTGGCTGTGGGGCACTGGGTCTCCAAAAGCATCCGCCTCTGCGGGGGTTCCCTGGATCCGCAGGCCAAGCACTGCACGGGGCAGCGGGGAGGTAGCAACGCTCGTGTCCCCGCTGCATGTCTCCCCCGCCACCGCCGGCTGCTGAGAAATGCCTTACACGTGCGAGGGTTGTGATCCCCAAGCGGAAGCACGGATACGTGTGAATTCCCTGGGGATCAGGAGAGGAAGGGGAGGATTTGCATGGAAGGATGTCTCTGGAAATGAAGCGGCCGAGGCCAAGTTTAGGCTGGGAGGAGGTGGAGAAGGGGTTTGGAACTGTTGAGGGGACCTGGAACAGACCCTCTGGGCTTCCGCAGCCCTGCCTTTGCTTGTGAAAGAGGTTTCAAGGGGGTGATAAAGCCCCGAGATGATGGGCTGCCCCAGGGGCTGCGGTGTCCTTCGTCCCCCAGTCCTCCGGCAATGGTTTTTTTCTTTGCTTGGGCGGTCATCTTGGGCTACAAACTATGAACTGTCCAGAACAGATCTGGGAAGAACTTTTAGACAGTGCATTGGGCATTACTGACTGGCAGAACATCCTGGGGGAAAAATGCATTGGCAAGAAAATTTAGACTAGTCCTGGGCACGGGCCCAGGGGCGGGGAGGTGGAATAAGATAGGGTGCTTCTGCTGATGCAGCACGCGGGAGGTGAGGAGGTGGCAGGGCTGGCTGCGCCTGCTCTCCGGTCCTTTAGGAAGCAGCCAAGACAAGCGAAATGTGCTTCTGGAGATCCAAGGGCCTTAACATCCAAAGCTTGCAGGATCCTAGGAAATACAGAAAATAGAAACCAAGTTGCGTGTAGGAGCTGGGGTACAAGCTGGAGCCCAGGAATGGCACATCGAGCCTTTCCTCTTTGGGTCACGGACTGAAATCCTAGCCTGACCGCAGCTCAAAGTCGTCACCACCCTGAAGGCTGGAAAACAAGTGCTGCGTCTCAGGGACGTGTCCCTGGCACAGATGTGATAGGGTGCTGCTGCTGATGCAGCACAGGGGAGGTGAGGAGGTGGCAGGGCTGGCTGCGCCTGCTCTCCGGTCCTTTAGGAAGCAGCCAAGACAAGCGAAATGTGCTTCTGGAGATCCAAGGGCCTTAACATCCAAAGCTTGCAGGATCCTAGGAAATACAGAAAATAGAAACCAAGTTGCGTGTAGGAGCTGGGGTACAAGCTGGAGCCCAGGAATGGCACATCGAGCCTTTCCTCTTTGGGTCACGGACTGAAATCCTAGCCTGACCGCAGCTCAAAGTCGTCACCACCCTGAAGGCTGGAAAACAAGTGCTGCGTCTCAGGGACGTGTCCCTGGCACAGATGTCTCCTCCGGGCAGCCCCACACATGTGCGTCCACTCGTGTTCCCCAGCCCAGAAGCTGTTGTGCGATCCGTACCCAACCATCTCCCCTTGGGGCTGTGGCCTCAGAAGCTTTGGGTGCAGGCTTCAGGGGTTTTTTTTTCTCCCTCCGTAAACATTTGCCAGATCTTTGGGACAAGGTCGCGCTCAAACTGACTTCCTGACAGAGCTCCCTAGCTGAAGCAAAGGTTTCGTAGGTGTCACTCCCCTACACATCAGGTCCTCGCGGTGAAGAGGGCAGAGCGGCTCTCCTGCAGCGGTGTCACTGCCCAGCCCCCCCGATGGCAGGCACAGCTCGCTGGCTAGGACCGCAGCCCTGTTCTGCAGCAGACCCTGCCCTCTCCTTTCCACTGGGGACCCTTTTCCCGAGGGCCTGCTGAGCCCCAAGATCCCAGCGCTGGCAGAGGAGCCGCAGGGGCTCGCAGGGCAGCTGCTCCCCGAGGAGCACGTGCCTTGCAGGAGCCAGGCTTTCGGCTGTTCCCTGGCTGCCGTCGCAGAGAACAAGCTGAAGTGTTTATTCGTTTTAGCCCTCACTCTGTGAGTCAGACTGGGTGTGTGGGAGCTGCTGCCTTTCCGAGGCAACACCCCCTGCTTTGGGGGAGCGTCTGTGGGCTCCAGGAGCGGGTACTCTTCCTTCTGTTGCCCACACGGCCAGGCAGGCATCCCCGGGAATGGCGCAGGAAGCTGTGGGATGAAGCAGACAAGGCTTTGCTGGAATAGCAAAGTACCGTTCCAAGAAACTGCAGCATTGCTAAGGACAGGCGCTGAAGAACCATTTCCATCTCCTCATCTCATCCCAGCACAGGCTGGAGCACGGCTCTGCACCAAGGAGGGCTCTGGGACGAGAGCCAAGGTACCTGGGCCTCTTGCGAAGCTGATTCC